CACCGTTAACTCTTCTGACCTTTGAGATCAATACAGCAGTGCTTATGAACAATTTATACATTTAGAGCCATGGTTGGATTTCTCTGAGAGTGTACAACTTCAGAAAGAGCAATTCCTAATCAGACAGTATGGAGGGACAGTATGCTTTGTCTAAAAATAAATGATTTATTCAACAGACTTGAAACTAAAATTAATAGTTTTGTCAATGTACAACCAATAGCAAACTAATTTCCAACTAAACTTTCATACAAGTAAAGGTAATAAGCAGTGAGGCTCAACAGGTAGTTAGCATGAGACAAAAATCATCAGCCCTCCTGAGGCATTAAAAAGAAAAGTAGCCCAGCAAAGTACTTATTTCCCAGAGGTATGATTATCTCACGCAAACAGAGTCCTGCAGTTCCCTTATTGCTATTGTGAAATGTCTTTCATGTGAATTAAATTATTTAAATAAATGACTTTGATCATTGAAAGCTGCTAGTTTGAGATAGAATAATTCCACTCAGTGGTTGATATATTGCTCTAACCCTATTTAGAATCACAGTATGCCCTAAATCTAAATTCTTTTATCACTCAAATTGTCAAGGATTATATGCCATTCATATTACATTTTGCTGCAAACCTATAACACAAAGTCTATGCTGCTTAAAATGTTAGAATATACTTGAGAAAATGTCAGCTCCATAATGATCATGTCTGTTTTCACTTTAGTTTGACCTGCTAAGTACTCCGATACCATGGTGATGAGTACACAATACAGCTAGAATATGTCTGTGCACCCATCATAGCTGACTACAAGAACATGTTACCACTATTCATCCTTCTCTTTTCTAGCCATTGCTGTTTGTTATTTAAATAGGCCCACGATGCGTTAAATACCTTCAATTATTATTATAATAAAACAATTTTAATAGCTTTTATCACAATAATTTATAAAATAAATTATTCAATTAACTGAATAGCCAGTTGTCCATATATTAGATTACCCTAAACATAAAGATAACAAGCCAACCTTCTAGACACTGCAGCACCTTCAAGAAAAGGGGAGGAGACTTGTCTGGATTTTGTTCTGACTTTCTAAGAAGCCAAGGTAGCAACTTTCCCTTGATGCATGTCTGTAACTCCTTATCCTGGGTGTTACTTGTGCACGCAAGGAACACTATGGCTCTTCTAGTTTAGAGCTGGAAATGGTCTTCAAAAGAACTGGCACATCTCAAATGTAGTATTAGTTGTTGTTTATTTAACATTTGTATGTAGCACCACAGGACATAAAAATGCCATTGTTTGGAAGTATCTGTACTTGTTTACTCCACATCTATTAATTTAATTACAAAGAATATAGACGTGCTTCATTGGCTGCTAACCACTCCATTTTTCTAATACGCTACCTACTGTAAATAGCTTTTAACACTAATTAATCAAACTTTAACACCAACCCATTCACAATAATGGAGTACAAAAAGTTATAGGACAGAAGAAAAAAAGCAGCATTAAAGACTGCTGAATAAGCCAGATAGTACAAAAAATTTGATTAATTAAATATGTTACTGTACCTGTAAGTACCTTAATTTGTTTGCTAACAATCTCTGTCCAAGATGGGAGTGTTGGTAAAGGCTGAATTCTAATAATTCTTGATGGCTGCTTTTAGCATAGTACTTCCTGTCTGTTCCTCTTGTTCTTTATGTGGCTTTCAAAATAACTTTATCAGAAAACTAGTGCATGTCAAAGACAGTTTATTTTGCTCTTCAATATGCTGACAGTTTTGTCAAAATGTCCAGGAAGTTTAGAATCTATCTTCATTCTGGAATATGCTCAAACACAGAATTTACTAGTATAGGAGAAGTATGACCCTCCAAGCTATAATCACCCCAGAAAGCCCCCAGAAGTCAATGGCAAGTGAAGATGCTTGTTGTCTTGTCATATTCAGCCCTACGTTGTGAGGAGGTGGAACTCGATGGTTACACTGATTTGCTGTTTTAGTGAACTAACACCTAAAAAAAAAGATAAATATCTAAAAACTTGCTGCTGGTCATTTTTCTTTTCCAGCTCATATATATAGTAATTTTAGCTGCAAAGATTTTCAAGGTAAACCGACTCCCTTCTTAATTACTGAGTTCGTTCTTTCTTTCTTTCAAGACAGAGCTTGAACATGCAGGTTTGTTTACATAAAATAATTTGCCATGAAGTATACAACTTTTTCATGCAGTCCAGTGAAATGCATTAGTTAAGTAAATGTAAAATTCTGTAGCATGTTGGAAATAGCTAACAATTGACTGCTCACAAATACACATTAATTTTGAGATCTGTAGAGACATAGAGAACTAAGTAGAGAGTAACTAAGGCCTTGGCTACACTTACCCGCTAGTTCGGCGGCTGGCAATCGAACTTCTGGGTTCGACTTATCGCGTCTAGTCTGGACGCGATAAGTCGAACCCGGAAGTGCTCGCCGTCGACTGCGGTACTCCAGCTCGGCGAGAGGAGTACCGCGGAGTCGACCGGGGAGCCTGCCTGCCGAGTGTGGACCAAGGTAAGTTCGAACTAAGGTACTTCGACTTCAGCTACGTTATTCACGTAGCTGAAGTTGCATACCTTAGTTCGAATTAGGGGGGTAGTGTAGACCAAGCCTAAGTAAGTAGAGAACTAATTAGTTTATGAAATCACTGCTACCAAACTAAGTGAAACCTAAGTGAGAGGGGGAGTGGTTTTTTGCTCCCTCTGTTTAAAACTCTGTTTTAGTTTGTTTTTTGTTTAAAATCTACTTAACTCAACAGCCTACCTAACAACAAACAAACAAAAACAAACAAACAAACAGGAAAAAAAGATCTCTTTGCAAAGGGGCAACACACACCGTTGCCACTTAAATTCAAAGAAACTTCCCAGTCCACTTCTGTAGGTCCTGTGAGACAATCTCCCACCAAAACAAGAGACACAAGACATGACATTCCTTACATTTCTAAGGTTACAGACAAAGTAACCTTGCATGCTTTATACATCAAAAAGTATCAAAAAAGGGGAAATATCCAGAGAATTATTTTTCCTTTGTAGGTACCTTATGATTTTAATACGTTGGTGCTCTCTAAATATATCTGGACGCAGACAATAGCATAGTGCTGCTCAAAATAACAAAAACACAAAGAAAAATAATTAATACAGAGACACTTCCCCCCAATTTTCAGTCAGCTGTACTGACTACAGTATAATATTCCTTTAACCAGAACATATTTCTGGTGTTAGGTGGAAACTATATTAAGTTTGCTTACAGATCCAATTATGCAATGGTGTATGTTGGATTCTTATTAATTTTCCAACTTGTCACCTGGGCAGCAGTTTATTTAATTTTACAGATAACAGTATTAACTAAAAAAAAAAATACTGCAGATGTACACTTTTTTATGTAATGATTAAATTATAGAAGTTATAACAACGTAACTGAAATTATAGCAGTTGCAGGCTTGTATGCAGATGTTCTTACTGGGCTGAATGGGGACGATCCTTCTAATTTTCAAAGCTGAGCATGTTTAGACTAGTCCACAATTGGCTGGGTGACCACACAGGAATAGCCTTTGCTTTATGCTGCTTGTTTCTTTATAAATGCTGATCTTAACTCTGTGTGTGTGTGTTTGCGCGCAAGAGCAGAGGATGAGGGCTCCGGCTAGGGATTTGGGTTGCAGGAGCATGCTCTGGGGCTACGGTGGGGAGAGAGGACTCCGCCCAGCTCTCTCTCCCCGCAGTAGCAACTGGGCTAGGGGGGAGAGGCGCCCCTCCCCTGACCACGGCAGGTCTGGGCTGGGGGAGAGGCTCCCCGGCCGTGGCAGGTCCGGGGCAGGGTTCGGACCGGGGGAGGGGCGCCCAGGCCGCGGCTGGGTTCAGGCCACAGGGAGGGGCACCTGCGGCAGGTCCGGGACGCGGCTGGGTTTGGGGCGCCCCTCCCCCAGCATGTCCAGGGGTGAGTTGGGGCTGGGGGAGGGGCACCCTGGCAGCAGGACAGGTCCAGGCTGGGTTCAGGTTGCCCCTCCCCCAGCCGTGGCAGGTCCAGGGCTAAGTTGGGAAGGGGCACCTCTCCTACAGCCGCAGCAGGTTGGGGGCTATGATATTTTGGGGCCGGGGAAGGGGCATCTCTCCCCTGGCTGCAGCAGGTCCCAGCCGGGCGGGTTCCCTGAGTGCTTGCATAGTGCTAAATCAGCTGCTGCGCGGCCATGCAGCTTACAGGGAACTTGTGTGTGTAAAAAGATTTTTACATACATTACTGAGACAAATTCTTAGTTGGTGTTAATTAGTGTAGCTTGATTGATTTCTGTGGAGGTGTGCTAGTTTACAGTAGCTGAGAAAATATATGTTCATAGCCTAGAGGCAGTTGACCTGCAGTTTGAGATCTGGTTTTGATTCGTGCTTCCATTAGCTCACTCCCTGGCACTTCAATGATACAACATGTAGTAGAGTTATACTGCCCTGCTTTGTGATCATGTAGATTTCATACACTAAGCAAGACTGGCTCTGATCAGTACTTGGAGGAGGGACGTCAAGGAAAGAGATGTTCATAGAACATGCTCATCTGTTACATATTAGGTGGCTGCTTTTATTTTCTCTGCTATGGCAAGTCTCTTCCAGTTCAGGTTGCATTTCTTCTTCCACATCTTTACTTATTCTTTCTTTTTTTGAAAAAGGGAAATTATATTTAAAGTTCACTGTAAAGTAACATTCAGGTTAAGATTGCACCACTGTTTACAATTGCTATGCACCAGAACTCTGCAAGCTTGCATCACAGGAAATTTAGTTACTTACATGCAATAATAACAAACTTGCGCAGGTGCAAATTCCTTGTGCTATTTACTTCGTAGTATTTCTCCAATAATGGGGGAGAGCATGTATTGTGCATTAGAAGCCAAAGCGGGAAGAAGTAAAATTACTCTGTGGACCATAGCTTTGAATTTCTTGACCAGGCAAAGCATTTTTCCATGGTGCACTGCATTTCAGGCATTTATTTTACCCGTTTTCCCTTCTAGGATGATCCCGGCCATTAGCAAATCCTTCTTCCTGACTGATCTGGTTGCAGGACGTGAGTATGACCTTTGTGTTCTCGCTGTTTATGATGATGGATTGACATCTCTAACTGCAACCAGGGTGATTGGGTGTGTGCAGTTCACCACACAAGAAGAATATAAGCAGTGCCGCTCTCTTCATGCCCAGTTTCTTGGAGGAACCATGATCATCATTATTGGTGGAATAATTGTGGCTTCTGTTCTTGTTTTCATCTTCATTCTTCTCATGAAGTATAAAGTCTACAACAATCACCACAAAAATAAAAATACTAAAGTTAATAATGTCTGCTCTCAGACCAATGGTAGTCAGAGTGGGTCAATGTCTCATTCTGCTTCCAAACTCACAGAGAGACGGGCAAGTTTGCATCAGGAATGCTCAGGAACTTCCATCAAAGGCAAAACTGTTGTAGATTTGGATTGTGAAAGAGTGACTCTTACTGACACAACCTTTTTAACAACTGAAGCGTTATCTCAATAGCAATGTGACAAAGCAGGACACGCCACACGAGCCAAGGTGGTATCGCTTAAAACATTTTAATGCGAGTGGTTGTATTTTAAGCTTCACTACTATTGTCTATTTTTAAGATCAGATGGTTTAAAAAATATTTTTTTAATCTGTAAAACAGTTCCTGCATTCTTAACTATTTTTGTTTCAATATATTAAATATAAAGTGTGTGATTTACAAGATTTTTTTTACTGTTTCTTTTATAGCATACACCTGTGGTATTGAATCAGAAGCATAACTTTATTCTGACTAGGTTTGTCTTTAGTAAAAATGCACTATTCAATCATTCAGTTACCAACTGGCAGCAAGACCAACTCTCAGGAACCTCAAACTTCTCTGATAGTAGAGTCATTTACCAGTTCAACTACCGAGCTGTTAATGAGCAATGAAATGTTATAAAAAGTTCTCAGCTTGTTAATCCTGAGATGTTCATCAGTCTATGTGCATTGTATACATGTCATCCACAAAAGAAAAAGCTAATGGTTCCTCCGTGGACAAAATACTACTCCAAATAAGGAAAAGAAAATTGAAGGATTTTGGACATCATCTCGCACTATTCACTGGTACGGAATTGCTGGCATATATTGTTTGCTTTGTAAAGGCTGGTATTATTCAAGACTGTGCCTTGAAGACCCTTCTCTTTCTTTTCAGTTAGGTTTACCTCACCTTAGACAGGGAGGAGCTCCCACTTTTGTCCTTCCTAATTTAAGTCTTCAGAAAGCTACTTAAATTAGAAATGGTGTGTTGTGCACATCTTTGCCACACTGGAAACTGTGTCCTAGTCTCCCACTCTCAAATTGTTTCACGTGTCAACCAAGTTAATCTCTCTCTTTTTGGTGTGTTTTTAGAGGGAGGACCCACAAGTTAAAGCTCTCCTCTCCCAACGTGCATTGCACTATCTCACTGTGTGGCACTGCATCTTCAGATAACATTGATAACCAATCTCTTATTTCTGTAGTACTGCATGAAGCGTAATGTAATTGGCCAAAGGATTAACTATGTAAATGTTTATGTGCAATTCATTTTAACAATTCATATTTAATAATTAAATCTTCTTTTTGTTTAAAGGGGTACTGTCAGGCCAAAATGAGTCCCAAAATTAGGTTTTTGTAATGACTTTCTACAAAACCTAAGAGCAATCCATGAGTTTAAATAAATTGTTGAATTAAACAGCATTCTTCTGCACTGTTCTAGCATGTGAATTTGAACGCAAAATTACTAAAAAAAAGAAACCCTACATAAATAAAACTGACTAGTCTCTTTTTTGTTGTCCAAACTGAAAGAAATGATGTGATGATAAGGAACAACAAGAAGGAAGGAAATTTCCAAAACAAAACAGTTTAAATCTTTAAAAGGATTGTGTCATCATTGAAAAATAAAAAGAAATCCTTATTCTAACAGTTTCTCTTTAAACAACCAGCAATATTTCTCTGGTTGGATCTGAAAGCATGGGACAGGCAAAAAGATACATTGGACAGCTTTAATTGCTGTCAACATTAAAGTAATATATTTTATTCAGTCATTACACTAAAGTAATGAATATAATTGTTTTTCAGTATTGTTAATTGCCACAGTAACAGGACTTTTTATAATCTCCTGTATACAGAGGTTATTTGGTGTGGCCCAGATACTGATTTGACTCCCTAACTGAAAGTAAACTGAACACAAACATTTTAATGGGTCCATTTTTAGGCTTATTAGCCTTTAAGACCTTTTTTTTTTTTTATTTTTTTTTAAGATTCAGTATCATCAACCCATGAACATATTTTTGAAAGTTACGTTTTACAAGCAGTGCCGGGTGCTGAAGTATCGCCTTGCTGAGGCAATAGTTCTCCATGGTTGAGAGTAACTGAATCATTTCCACATTCCTTTCCAGCGGAGACCTACATACAGGGGTAGTTCGGTGTTTTCCACTTCTTTTCCAGCAGGTGAGGATATCACAAACCCTTGGCACATCCCACTTCACCAGTTAGTAATATCAACTGCTGGAGAGGTGGAAGAGATGAACCCAAATTCAAGAGCGTGGCATGTAAGAACTATCAGTGAACCTTCATATGACCCCCCCTTGTTGTAACTGCTGATTGTTGCTACGTTTGTCATGTCTTTCTCTCTGGTCATCGTCGGCCAAAAATGTCTCCTTTAAAGATGATCTGGAAAAAATATAAGTGGATTTGAGCCCTTATTAGTACCACAGAAAGTAGGAGCATTTAAAGGGACTGAGCCTAAGGCTTAAAAACAACCAATAGAGACTTTAAAGGTGTCGGGCAGGAAGCCTGCGCGCGGCTCAGGCTTGCTGCCCTGAGCAGGTGCTGGAGGGGGCATGAATCCGGGTTGCAGGGAAGTGCTCACCACAGAAGCTGGGATGGAGAAGCTCCTGGCCCTGCCTGGCTTCCGGAGAGGCGGGTTCTGCGAACAAAGCCTTCTCCACACAGGAGACTCGGGGACGAGCGGACTCACCCCACGCCCGCCCCAGAATTAGCTGTTCCTGAGCAGCATCGGCGCCTGTCCTGGGTAGGGGTAGGGTGGGGTTAGGGGTCAAGGGTTGAGGTTAGGGGTTAGAGTTGGAAGGTAGGGTTTAGGGTTAGGGGATTGGTAGTCAGGGTTACAGATTAAGGGGTATGGGGATCGGGGGTCAGGGTTAGGGGTTAGGTTTAGGGGTGAGGGTAGGGGTAGGGTAAAGGTTAAGGTTGTTAGGGTTAGGGAGGTAGGGGTTAGGGTAGCGGTAGAGGTTAGGGGGTGAGGGTTTAGGACTTAGGGTTAAGGGTTAGGTTTAGGGTCTAGGGGTTGGAGCTGGGTTTCGGGTTAGGGAGTAGGTTAGGGTTGGGGTGGGGGTTTAGAGGTTAGGGTTAAGGGTAAGGGTGGGGGGTAGGGGTAGGGTTGGGGGTAAGGGGTAGGGTTAGGGGGTAGGGTGTTGGTTAGGGTTAGGTTAGAGGTAGGGTCAGGGTCAGGGCGAGGGGCCAGGGTTAGAGATTAAGGGTTAGGGTTGGGATTGGGTTAGGGTGAGGGGTAGGGAGTTAGGGGTCAGGGCCCGGGTGAGGGGTTAGGGTTAGGGTTGGGGTTAGGTTTAGGGGTTGGGGTGAGGGGGTAGGGTTTAGGGCGAGGGGTAGGGGTGAGCGTTAGGGGGTAGGGTTTAGGGCGAGGGCTAGAGGGTAGGGGTGAGGGTTAGGGGGTAGGGTCAGGGTGAGGGGCCGGGGTTAGGGGTTAGGATTAGGGGGGTAAGGTTAGGGTTAGGGTAAGGGTTAGGGTTGGGTTAGCGGTCGGGGTTAGGGTAAGGGTCGGGGTTAGGGTTGGGTTAGGGGTCGGGGTTAGGGTCAGGATCAGGTTAAGGGTTTAGGGTTAGGGTTAGGGGGGTTAGGTTAGGGTGAGGGGTTAGGGTTGGGGTAGGGGTGGGTTTAGGGTTAGAGGTTAGGGTGAGGGTGAGGGTGGGGTTTAGGGTTGGGGTTAGGGTTTTAGGGTTAGGTTAGGGTTTAGGGTCAGGGGTTTGGGTTAGGGGTGAGGGTTTGCGGTTAGGGGTTAGGGCAAGGGTTTAGGGGGAGGGGTGAGGGGTTAGGGTTAGAGGGTTAGGGGGTTAGGGTTAAGGGTTTGGGTTTGGGGTAGGGTTAAGGGGTAGGGGTAGGGTCAAGGGGTTAGGGGGTTAGGGTTAAGGGTCAGGGTCTAGGGTTAGGGGTTAGGGGGAGGGTCAGGGGTTAGGGTTAAGGGTTGGGGTTGGGGTTAGGGGTCAGGGTCTAGGGTCAGGTTAGGGCTAGGGTTTAGGGTTGGGATTGGGGTGAGGGTGAGGGGTTGGGTTAGGGCTAGGGGCTAGGGTTTAGGGGCTAGGGCTGGGGTTGGGTTTGGGGGTTAGGGTGAGGGTGAGGGGTTGGGTTAGGGTTAGGGTCCAGGGTTTAGGGGGTAGGGTCAGGGGTTAGGGTTAGGGTGTTAGGGTGTTGGTTAGGGGTTAGGGTTGGGGTAGGGTTGGGGGTTGGGGTTTAGGGTTAGGGTTAGGGTGTTAGGGTGTTGGTTAGGGGTTGGGGTTAGGGGTTAGGGTTAGGGGTTAGGGGTACGGTTAGGGTTGGGTTTAGGGTTGAGGGGTTAGGCGTTAGGGTTAGCGTTAGGGGGTAGGGTTAGGGGTTAGGGGGTAGGGTTAGGGTTGGGTTTAGGGTTGAGGGGTTAGGGTTAGGGTTTAGGGTCAGGGTGGGGGGCAGGGTTTAGGGTGGGG